CCACTGACCAAGGTCATTTTCTGAAGCACATTTCCAATAATGCAAATGTTTATAGGCCTATATCTACCAAACTATATTTGAGGGCAAATACTTTGCAAAATGTGATGTGATAACATGAAATATGTTTGCAAATAGCCACAGTTTATACCAACTCTACTTTAATACATCAATGGTATACCACACAGTATATCACATAGACTTAGAGGGCTATTTAAGCTGATTATAAAGTTGACAAAGTATTTAAATCCTGTTTGTCCTCACACAACCTCTCAAGCTTGGCATTCGCCCCGTAAGTTGCTGAGTCCTGACTGCACCCAGACTGATTAGTAACAACAAAACATTAAAAAACAATAATCAAGATGTTACTATGTTAACAAAGCTAAATGAATGTACAAAGTCATGTTAATTATAATGAAAAGTTTTATTTTTTTCATGATTTTACAAGTAAGATGCTTCTGGAACTTTATCTGTACAACACATTATGGACATTCATACTCTGACATAAAAACATTGTAATTTTGCCCAAAGTGATTTTCTTTTTTTCCTAATAGAAATATCTCTGGTTATATATTCTTTTATTTATTACTACTATTTATTACACATAATATATACATATATATTTGTTTTGTTTTGGGTTTGTTTGTCCTCCGAAGCCTCCGTATTATTCTCTTCCTGTATTTCCAGGATTAGTTAAAGCAGACTTTTCTCCTGTGGTTTATGCAACACCAACTCTTCTTCATCCTCATCATCACAATTTGATCCAGCACTGCTCTATCTCACAGTGTTGGTAGCAGTGGAGGAGCAGTGTCTTCGGGTCCTGCGGGTACAACAACTTTTTAGGTGGACAAGAAGAAAAAGACAACCAGTTAGAGCTGGGGTACCTCACAACGCAAAGCTGAATCACAAGGAAGAACTAAAAAAATAAATAAAATGGAAAAAGTCCATCAAATTAGATCTAAATAAAATTATTAAATGAGAACAATACAGTACAATAAAATAATGCTGATAAACTTGTACAGAGTAATCTTTTGTGGATTCTTACCAGCATTTACAACAAATAAGGCCAAACGGGAACACCAGAATCCATACAAATGGTAAGCTCAGTAAAGCCCGATTCCCTAAGAAAAGTTTTAGAAAAGGAATAAATTAATTTTACAAGAATTATGTTTTCATACGTGTAAAATAAAAACAAAAATAAAAAATAAATAAAAAGATGCACTGCCACAGTCGCTGTTGTTTTTCATATATAAAATGTAATATTTAATCATATATAATTTGTTGAGCTGATAACTCACTGATTAAGAGTGGATTCAGGATTTTTTCACTGTATTCATAGCTGACTGGGTTTTCCAGCTGACAGCTTATCAAACGCTCTCTGTTTGCCTGCAAATGAAGAGAAAAAAGGAGCTCATAAACACACATGGCATTTTAATTAGAAAACAAATGTCCTTGTTTTGTTTACCACATATTGAATTTTACCATTTGCCAGTCACTGAATTTGTTTGTGGCGCTCAAATCTGTCAGAACTTTCCCTCCAACTTACTGACTTAATTTCCATGAAGCTAATGATAATCATTTAATAGTCTGAATGTATTCATTTTCTGATACTTTGTTTGAAACATGCACCCTAATTGTTTGTTTGTTTGTTTGTTTTTTGTTGTGGGTGTGTGTGTCTGTGGATTTGGACGTGCCAAGATCGGTGTAAGACCCAAATGCTGACTCAAAAAAAAAAGAGGCAAATATTACCTGAAAACGCACATTTAATGTGGTTTATTCTTCAGGAAATACAAAGTTTATGAGGAGTTCATCAGGTTGTATACACATAGGGGATAAAAACAGCTGATCAGTTAGGTGTACAGTGGTCCCTTGCTATAACGCGGTTCACCTTTCGTGGCCTCGCTGTTTGGCGTTTGTTTTTGTTTGTTTTTTTTTTGGTGCAATTTTGCATGCTTTTTTTCCTTACAGCGCATTGAGTTCTGCGTCCTGATTGGCTGTAGACCATTGTCAATCAATCTCGTGCTGTGTCTCCTGTCCAGTACAGAATGTGTTCAGCTTGTCAAATTAACATAAATCTTCGATCTCTAGCAGTGTGACTCTGAAGTGCTGTACTGTATGTTTGTAAGTTTTCTCCCCAACAAACATAACAATGTTGACGGTTTGGTTTCATTCTATAATACTGGACCTATTTTTCTACAAAGGTTTGAATTTTGAGAGTGTTTAAACAATAGAGAAAAGTGTAAAAATGTTCATGACTGTCTGAGAAAAGTGTCTAAAGTGTGTAGTGAGGGGTTTTACAGCCTTAAAACATCTATAATAATTGTAAAAAAAACAAAGTTGGCTACTTCGCGGATTAGACCTATATGGCAGGTTATTTTTTAGAACGTACCTCCCGAGATAAACGATGGACCGCTGTACTGCAAAGAAAGTTCAACACAGACAGGCTTTCTTTTGCTTTAGCTGGTTACAAAATGTAAAACCCCAATCAGAGATAACAGATCATCAACTCTCTCTCTTTTTTTAATCGCTGCTGTTTGTTTCTCAAATGAAGGCTGCACACTGGAGGTCTGAAAATCTGGATAACTCTTCTGTCAGTATACATAATTCAGCATTTAAGCTGTTATCTTCTTTGGTCTATAAGTGTTTCCATATACAATATAGTATATATGTAATAAACTGAAGATTTTACTTGATGGTCACTATTGGTCTTTAAATAATGAAGGAAAAGCAAACAGGTTCTTTATACATTGTGTAAAGGCCAAATGCACGTAAAACTGCGATAAAATGTCTTGAAAGTATTTAGATTTAAAAAAAGTTTTGGATTCATTAGGTTTGGATAAAATGATAAAAATAAGCAACAGAGCTGTCATGTGATTCAGTAATCAGATCCTGTTTATACCTGTGTGATGTTGAACTGACTGGTTGGAGACTGTTTCACCATGTCACCTATCATCCAGTAATAGGTGATCGGTTTGGCATCGTCTGTGACGTTGGGTTCACAAGTGAGAGTACAGTAGGACATCTCAGGGTGGCACCATGTGGACACAGTAGGATTAGGGACAGTGGCTGGTAGAAAAGGGAGAAAACCAACAAGAATTTGACTTAAAATCAGGTGAACTAGTTCGTGCTAGCTATAGTATGAATTCCTCCTCCCACTTACTGATAACAATGATTTCCATTGTGCTCATGACTTCATCATTAATCTCCGCCGTGTAGCTGCCGCTGTCATTTAGAGCCAGGTTTGAGATCGTCAGGACCCCAGTGAAGGTATCCACCTCACAGCCATCTAAAAGTATGAAGGTATCCTCGTGGATCATTTCAATATATTAGCACAGAAATTACCTTAAACTTCATAGTTTAAGGTGCTAACCAGTAGATGAAATTTACATCACTGGAATCCGAGAGTTATTTATACCTCATAAC